CGAAAGCTTTTCGAGAGGGGAGCGCCGAAAGGATGAATCGCGATTCGCGAACAGTAGGGTTAGGGTTGCTGTGTTTTTAAATTTTAAGTTATGTACTTATATTAATAAATATATAATACTTTATATTAATTATAAAACTTATATTATTTAACTATATAATATTTATAATACTATTTACTAAATTATATATTATAATTTATAGAATTTAATTTTTTAAAATTTGATAAATTTTTAATATATATAATATAATTATTTTTAAATTTCTTAATATTATTTAAATTATTTATATTTCAAACAAAAACGAATCGAACACGAACGAACGGGTCATTGTTCGTGTTTGGTTCGTTTAACAATCCGAACAAAAAAAATTGTCGTGTTCGTCTCGTTTGCTTGTCGAACGAACTGAACACGATCTGCTTCACGAATCGAACACGAACTGTTCGCGAACAACGAGCTTTTTTAGCCCTAGATGTGAGGTGCCACACATATAATGATCCCACTGTAGCGCCACATGAAACCAGCATGGGAGTACTCTGGAGTCTCTCTCTCTCTCTGTCGCTACGTGGGTTAGCTTGCTCGCAGCGGTTTCTGATTTCTCTGTCATCGTCTTGGCTTGCGTTCAGCTCGGGTTTCCGATCTCTCTGTCATCGTCTTGGCACTAGAGATGGGTATTTGGGACTCGTTCCTAAATTGGCTTCGAAGGTAATCTCTTTAATTTTTCCTTCGCTTTCCGATGCACAACTGGTATCTGGTGCAAGCTATTGATCATGTTAGAATTGAGGGTTCGGGATTGCCGCAGGTGAAGGAGCTCTTGCTTATTGGTTTAGTTTCCTGTTGCTTGTTATCTTTGTATGATCGTATCGCTGTGAAGACCTTGGTGGTCTAGGTTTTGATTTCATATTTTTTAGCTTTATGCTTAACGAAGTTTATCTATTTGCTTTAACCCATATTGCGCTGTGGTTGTCAATTTCTTGATGGACTAGAGAATATATATTCTTTTTGATATGACTGTAATTGCTACTTCCGGTATTCGTTGAAATATTTTTGGCTTAATTAATGTTGGAGAGTAAGTTATGGATTGCGAGTTTAAGGGACTGTTTGGTTAGAAGCAGTATTTAATTCAAGTATGATTTATTAAATTTTGTAAATGCAGATTTATTAAATCATGGATATGTTAAATCATGAAAATGGTTGGTATAGCAAATGTTAAGTTTGATTAAATATTAATAAGCTTTTTGGCAATTTTTTTCAAGATTTAGGATTTAAATGAAGGATAGAAAGAAACACTTTGTGAAGTGGTGTCATTCATTTGAATTCTGCTTTTTCAGGTCTGCAGAAACAGGAATTTAGCCTAAAGTAGGGGGAAAATGAGATTTATGTGTCTCAAAAGAAGTTTATGTGTAATGATTTAACCCACTTAAATTTTGGCTTAAAATTGCAACCAAACAGCCTCCAAATGATTGATAAATTCAAATCACTTTATGGCTACTAACTAGTCCAATGTGCAATGACACGAGAGCTAAAGATTTTGAAGCATGTTGCAAACAAAAGCAGTTTCTGGCTGGGGATTTTTTTTATTTTTATTTTTGGTTTTTGGCAGACATGCAAACGGGCTGGACAAAGATGGAAAAGGATTGGAGAGGTAAATGAAAGAAAGAAAATTTCCAAAATATCTACATAGTATTAATATGAATACATTTTTAACCCAAGGGCCATGATGTGACTATTTTGTAGCACAGACACTTTAAGTTGAGATGGTTTTGTTGGAATGATGACATAGTTTTAATGTTTTGGGAAGTGCAACATTCTAGGGAGGTCTCATAAGTTCCAGAAGACCGCATGACATATTTCATCATCTAATTTTTGGAAAGTGTCGGCACTAAAAAGAGAAGGAATTAAGGTTGGGGGGTTGCCCGTAAGAAGCTGTCGGTCACCGGAATTGAAATTCCGTTCCCCGCTTCGGAAGAACATTTACTTTACATATATATGTATAATTTTAGAAAAATATGAAATCAAACTAACCTCTTATTTTTCATAGTTTAAATGAAAGAGCGCTCTATCTCAAATCCTGTATCTATCCCGAGGGATAAACACAAGACTTGAGGATGAGGCTCGATCAAATAAACTAAGAAATATATGACATCCGTTTGGTCTGTGAAACCGTTTTATTTGTCGACAAGTTTCCCTATTTAATACAAAGAATTAAATAGGGTTTATTTTAGGCTGAGTTCGGAAAAAACTTCCTATAAGGGCAAACCCCTATAGTTAATTACATCTTAAATGACCGAAATCACTTAAGAAATCTTTCGATAAAAATCAGGGAATACTATCTTCAAAGAAGTCAAAAGGATAAGACTTTTCAACGAAATCGGACGAAGAGACGTGAAAGGGGAAATGCTCGAATCTAGAACATTGTTGAAGAATCCAAATGAAGAGAAACTAGGGGAGACCACGGATCCTGAGGCGAACCTCAGTGGCTTCCCAGTCTATCCTATAGTTTGACTTCAGTTTCAAGAAGAAATTATTCAAGTGTTTCATCATGCCAATTTTATTTAATTAGGGCTTATATTCGTATGAAACGATCACACAAATAGTCTGGAAGATGTGAGGGTCGAACGACAACCTCAGAACCTAGAACGAGTTAGAGCTTAAATCGTACAGTAGAGCTATACGAATGACTAAAGAAAAGATGGAGGATTTATGTTGCGCTAGACAAACAACCTCGAAATCCTATGGATTGTTGTTTAATTTCTTGGAAAAGGAATGATTTTGCTGGGGAAGATATGTTCTGCTGTTGAAGATGGTCGTGCTGCACATCACGCTAGCTCCAAGCTTCTTGCCGTGACGAGTTTAAATTTTTTTTAGGGTGTCCAGTTACGATGTCATATCAAACGACCCTATGGTTGTAGTCCTCTAAACGACTTATATAAAAAGAAGGCATGCTTAAAGCTATATAATATAAAATGTACAATACAGGACAAATAGTAGGATGCATGTAGAACAGTGGCAGATAGAAACATGAATGATATAACATGCTGTACAGAAAGAACAGTAGCAGGTAGAAAACAAGAATAGTATAACATGCTGTACAAGAAAAACAGTAGCAAGTATAAACATGAATAGTATAACATGCTATACAAAAAGAACAGTAGCAGGTATAAACAAGAAATGAAGTGCTGTAAAATGTAAAGCAAACCTGTACGCCCGTGAGATTCGCTGTTCCTTAGTATAACAAATCTAAATGCATCGCAAAAAGCGAAGTCTAGAAGAAACGCCGTCCAAGAAATTCGAAGAAGAGTGTAACAATGACTCATGACAGAAAACTCGAGAAAATCAACGAGGAAAGACTCAAGTAAAAGAGAAGAAAAAAAGAATTCCCAAAAAAAAAATCTTGGAGAAATCCCGAAAGAAAGAAAAAGTAACACGAGTGCCCTGTCCCAAAGCTTTAATAAAACAAAAAGAAGTTCGGTGAAGGGGGACCGCAAGCACTCGTATGGGGCTAGGCTCAGATATATATTTATACTCAAGGGTCCGCGAATGATACTAGGTCACTCGAATGTATAGACCCCGCCACTCGTCTAGAAGTGTGTCTTGAACCTCACTTAGAGGGCTATTTCCCAACCTAAACAAGTATTCGTCAGGTGGAAAACCAGCTTTAAAGTATATTTTATATTTTTAACATGCATACAAATTTTAAACATGCAAAGAAGAGTTATCAATTTTTGTTTCGTAGAAAAGTATGTTTTTGCTTGAAAAGAGTTTATCAAAACTTATTTTTTTTGTTAGAAATTTTCGTTGTCCACGAGTCGATTACAATGTCGGACATGAGACTGCCAACAACCTGAGGAGGTTCGAGCCAACCCCCGCTAGACTTATGTCGGTGAAGGATAACATTATCCTATTTTTCATCAAATGCCTGGATCTTGATGTTATAGGATATGACATCTTTCTGCTCTATCTTCGGTGTGCTTTTATCATCAATACCGTACTCCCCAAAACGACTACTTGCGACCTTGCTTGATGGTTTCACGTATAGCAAAAGACTATACGTGGACACTTATGCATCGAACGAACCAAGAAGCAAGGAAAGAAAAGAACAAAAATGGGGTGAGAGAGAGGAGACACTGATCCATCTAAAACACCGAAAAGGAGAATTGATCAGTTCTCAAAACTCGTATCGAAAAGACCTGAAAAAGTAGGGTCCAAGTCTTTCCTAACAAACATAAATGGGCACTTTGCGCTGATTTTTTTTAAACCCCAAAGACGTAGGATTGATTAAGTCCACCAAATGCTTTTCTAAAAGAAGGTTTAAAATTTCCCAAACTTCAAAAGAAAGTGATCTCGGGGAAACCACCACTAATATTTTCAAACTCATGCCGAAATCAAAATTCTCCCACTTTCGAATTAATAGATAGCCTTATAAGATAGTCTCCCACTTTCGAATTAATAGATAGCCTTATACGTCGAATAAGCATGAAATCTTCCCACAAAACCAAATAAATGCTCACAGCTGGGGTCAATAGAATAGAAGAAACAACAGCTAAGGCTTTCGGTCACAACAACCCACAAGGGAGGTAATCACTAAGGTTCACGGCCCAAGGCAAACTCAAGACCAAAAGAAACTTACGGCTAAGGCAAACCCAAGGCACAGGAGCAGAGGAGGCTCACGTCTGAGGCAAACCCAAGGAACAACAAGTGATGCTCACGGCTAAGGCAAACCCAAATCAATTCCCTAGAAGTTTTGATATACATAGGAGAGTACAAAACATCACCAGTCTCTCAAAGTAACAAGTTTGATCCATCTACAATCATTCAAATGATTGAAACTCAACAAGAGGGGGTAAATTAAACTCAAGAAACTCCAATAGGTCTCACGGGTATTGGGACCCAAAGCCACCAAAACCCCCTCCAAACCACCTCTCGGGTAAGGGCCAAACAAAGCAAACCGAGCTCTCAACTAGAGCCAAAACCGAGCCACAGTTAAGGTTCAAATTCAGGTTACAACAAAAGGATAGAAAACATTTCTATGCCCTCAAGACATCAGAATATGCATCAAAATGCCCTCAAAACATCAAAATATAGAACTATCATATGTTTTAAACAAGAACAGCCATGAAGTTCCTCCAAATCAAAATAAATTCTTTCACCATATGTATATTTCAACTAAACACCCGCAAGATGTCAAAACCGAGCCCGACAGGGGCCAAAATTGCAAGATGTCAAAACCGAGCCCAGCAGGGGACAAAACCGAGCCCAACAAGGCTAAAACAGGACCCAAGCATTGATATAAATCCAGGCTTTAATAGAAATTAAAATTCCAGCCACCCTAAGGTGAAACCGAGTCATCCAAAGCCAAGGAATAACCTGCATGTCTAAATATTCCAAGCATGAAACAATTCCAACAAATATTTGAACAGGGGAGATGCCTAACGAGGAGCTAAACCAAGCCCTCAAAACAAGTTACAGAGCTTTCCAAATTAAATAAATTTTCTCATAGCATGCATTTTAAGTAAGGGAAAGGCGCAGGAGCTAAACCGAGCCCCCATATATGTATAAAAAAAGTAAAGTGAACTCTCTAGCATTCATGAAAGGTCAAATAAAATCTCCAATATCCCATGTTAAATGAAAATAGATGAAAAGCTTCATAATACATATCCTAACATGCTTGCAAGAGGAGCAAAAGTATTCCAAGGTCATGTTTT